TTTGTCAAAAAATATGTTTTGCAATTTGATAAAAGAAAAATTTTTCTGTCAATTTACTCATTCAACACGGGAGTCATGCCCTCCTTCCGATAAGTCCTTTACATAGAATGGCACGAAATTTCCCTAATTTACTCAAATTCTATGACTTATTTTAAGAAGAATCCACTCCCTGACAGATGTATTTCCCATTAAATTACTCTTGGCTATTTAAATATTTCATCGAAATACAGGCGGAGTCAGTTGAAAAGCTTACTAACCCCTTTGTCAGTGCAATCGCATTACACTAAAGGTTAACTGAAGCGCAGAAAAAAAATAATCTCCCACGTGACACACTTGAACTCTAACTCGACTAATGTGCTATACTATACCTACAAAAATAGGTCAGTTATTTTTAACTAAATTAATTATTCATTGTAAATAAGTCCCACAAAAGGCGAATTGAGTAACGCCAAAAACAATGCCTTTTACATATTGTAACTACATACATACATACATAAATATGGTATAGCATAGAAGATAAGTATGAATAACCACGTATGTACGTACATATATGTGCATCCATTTGTGCGCTTTTTTTTTTTGTTAATATTTTCCTATTCATCACTCATCCAGTTTTCCCAAAACATTTTCCCTTACGTGCCAAAAACGAATCATATTGAGGCTAAATATAGGCCACGTTAATCAAGTCACTCAACGACGGCGACTATATTTTGGGTGAGTGCATTGCAATACATAAACAATATGTAATAATAACAATAATAATAAATTTCATAGAAAAAGGGAAATGGAAAAAATGGGAGAATATGATAAAAAATTAAGAAAATTAATAGGCGAAAATACGGGACTGCGAATATTATACGAAGTATTAATATGTATAAATATAGGCATACCTACATTAAGTGTACATATTTCCACACAGATAAAAACAACACCTATTGTGACGAGTTGTTGTATTGACATCGGACGACAAGGAGGTCAACTGTCTGTCAATGACTGCTTTTAGGAAAATGTAAACAAAAAAGTGTACGATAATGAAGACAATTTGGTATATCCCCAATGTTTTGTAAGAACTTGCAAACTTTTTTTATTTTATTTTTTATTTCTCTTTTTTCCACCACCTACAACACTCATACAAGTCGTTTATTCATTCATTGAGCAATTGACCGCTTCAGGTTTACTGCGGTTCAAGCGCGACAAATGGGGGGGGAGAAAAATTTATGAGTATCAAAGCGGTCGGCTGTTGACCCTAATACTTTTCAGTAGCCGGAAAAAGATAACGAAAGCATTGCATGGTTTCTGGCAGTTTGATCAGTACTGTGGTCATTTGGTGTAAACTTTTCAAAAAGCCTATGCAAGTGTGTGTCAGCCAACTATTTGATACTTATATAATATAAGAAAGAAAACCTCATGCAAATTATATATAAATTATCATGCAATAATCGTAAATCCTACTTTATTATAACTAGCGTGTCTGAAAGAGACATTTTTACCCCAGCCTATTGATAACAAATATGTATGTAAATGTGTCAGCGAAAAGCCGACTTTAACAATGGCTTCATGCACCCTTAATTTAGGCAATTTTGTATTAGAATGACTTTCATCAAGCTGGCACTACTATTTTACCAAATGATTTCTAAAGAAAATAAGTTTTCGAAATTAAACCCACAACACTAATTTGTTAAGCAAAATATGTATGTTTTCTTTTCTATTTTTATTAAACAAAAAAAAACACTCAAAAGCTTTGACGTCACCAGTCACACCCCCATCTTCGGAGCGACGGATAGTGTTGAATCCACACGAGTTTTCAAAAAATTAGTTGAAGAAAAATGCGAAAAAAATTTATGCTCTAAGAATCTTTGAAATCTAGAAATTGTTTCAAATATCTACACAGACACACACATACACACCGACTAACTTAAATTTCCAAGCGTATTAGAAATAGTAAGTATTAAGAACTCGTAAGTAAACACACAATGTACTACATATAAGTAAATTATTATATGTACTTATCTATGTACGTTAGACCGAATTAGAAAAAAAGCCAATTTCGAAAAAAAAAAATTTTGACCGGGCGCCTTTTTAAATTTTTCTTTATAAGTACATAAGAGTAGTATGGAGAAGAAGCTCGGCCAGGCACTTAAAAAAATGCTAAAGTCCAAAATAATATTATTATTAGGTATGATAACACCTTTCGCAGCACCTAATTATAGCTAAGCACAAAATATTTTCTGTACTTAAAATTGTATTGCATTTTTAAATAACACACACACATCCCCACGCGCACGCACACACTTACATACATAACCATTGACAAAGATAAACAGTTGCAACTGCAAAATTGGCAAATGCCTTCAAGTGCATAAACGTCATTGCTGACTCGACGCCGCAGGTGTATGCCAATGCAAGCAAATGAACAAAAATGGCAAGAAAACAGCGATAAAGGCTAGGCCAAACTACATATATACATATGAAATAATGCCGGCATAAAAAGAAATATTACGAAAACAAGCAATGACGTCATTCTTTTAGGCCTACAAAAAGATAAAATTCGATGTGAGTGGCTGAGTATAAACTATGTATGCATGTAGAAAGTTATGCAAGTGTGGGAAAATTTTGAAATTCACACCATATGCAATTCAAAACAAAAAAAATACAAATTTTATTATTATATTTTTTATTCATGCTGCAGCACGTGTTTAAAACTTAATGAAGTTTCTTATCTTAAAAAAATAAAATAAAATATTATAAGTATTACCTTAAAATTTAAAGTAGAGCGTTAAGCTGACTTCATTCGTTAATTTACTTGCTTTTACGAAAATAAGTCTTCTTCTTAGGGGATACAAGTATTTGATATCGTTTTAAATTGTTTACGCAACAAAAGAGAAACACTAACGGATCAAAGATAGAATTTTTTCTTTACTATGACGTTCTTCCAGCAAACGAGCGTTTGCAATCTTCGATGTATAAATCCATATGTAAATATTTATAATAAAATATAGTAATGTATGTCAGCGCATTACTTTAAAAATAGCAACAAAAAGAGCTTTTCTATGATGTCACATCGGAAAATTGAAAATGTGAGAGAGGGAGCATGTTAATGCAAATGCAAGAGAGCGGCAACTCTAAACTTACTACAGTCAACAAGATGACCTGATTTGTGTTTGTACGCGGAGGAAATGTTTAACGTAAGTTTTGAGAGCGCATCTTTCCAGTGGCGGTACTAGTAACATAAATGGGAAGGGTTGAGGGCCCTAGTAAAAATATTTACTGGATCGCTTTCTAAAAAAAAACTTACTTCAAATATAAAAGTTAATAAATAACAATAAAATAAATAAAAATTTAAAAAATAAAATAAAATAATACAATATGAAAACAAGAAAAATAATTTAATTAAGTAAACTGAAATTACAAAAATATTAACAATTATATTATATTAAATAAAATTAAATTTAATTAAGATTAATTAAATTTTATAAAGCTAGGCTAAATCAAATTAAATTAAATTGAATTATAATTAATTTAATTAAAGTAAATTAAATTCAACTCAATTCAATAAAATTAAACTAAATTAAATAAAATTAAAAGTTAAATTAAATTAAAATAAATTACACAAATTAAATCAAATTCAACTAAACTAAATGAAATTACAAATGTAAACAAAAAAAATAAATAAAAAATTAAGCAAAGTGGAATTCGAAAATATAAATAAAATATAATAAAATAAAACAAACTGAAAAAATTAAGCAAAATAAATTATGAAAAATTAAATTAGGTAAAAAAAAATAAAAATTAATAGAGTAAACATAATAATATCAAAATCGAACATATTCAAATAAAAAATAACATTGAATGAAAAACAAAATTAATTAAAATCAAAAAAAAAAAAAAAAATAAACTGAAATATATATCATAACAAAAAAAATTACACTCGAACACCACAAACTATTAGATTCCTATTAATGAAATGTAGCGCTTTTTATTACTTCTCAAACTCGAGTTCTTTCGGGTCCGTTTCCCCAGCGGGTCTAATGCAGGGTAATTAAAAAAGTAATCTGATACTTTTTAACTAACTTTTTTGCTAATTAATTACCAAATACAACAATTTCAACCATTGTCGATATCCGCTAACCTTAGCGTAACCAAAACCTAATCGCTAAAATAACGTTATCCGATTTTTTTAATTCCACTGCATTTGCCCCCGCTGCTGAAATTGGCTTGGTAGTTATTGAAATATAGCACTTTGTTTATTGTTCGATTTTGCTATTTCAAATTAATTAAATCTGCTTCAAGGGTAACCTACCTATTCTAATGCTATTTTAATCTTTCTATCGCCATTTGGCGCCCCTTCCGCATACATATGTACATAATCCGCAGGCTGCCACTGGCTGTTTATATATGTACACAAGTACTTTGGCTATATTTGCCACCCAAAGCTTTTGCAATGAGAGCCAGCCAGCAAGCGCTGGCAGATGGCCAAAAAAGTTGCTGACGCCGCTATGATTACGAAAAGGAGTTCGTGTCGTGCGGGCATTGGCCTCGTGAGCGTGCTGTCAGCGTCGTAGCTGCGAATGCGGCCCATTGGCGCATAGCGGGTGCACAACTAAAGTGCACTGAAAGGCGTATGAGTGTGAGAGTCAAGGGAATAGGCGGGTGAAAGAGAAAGGTAGTAATCACAGTCGAGAAAAGCACAATCGGCTGACACTTCGCGGGATTTAATTTTTGATGCTTTTCCATTGCACTCGAGTGCACTAATCCAAGGTATTGTAACAAACTGGAGGGGGTGGGTGGCGCACAATCAAGAGCACGCAAATTCACACACACACTTACATACATATGTACATACTTGCACTGAAAGCCGGCTACGCGTTGCTGCCACAGAAAATGTATGCCAGCTGCAGCAGCGACTGTAGCGTCGACAGCAGGACGTAACGTAAAAGCAGCTGCTGTGCGCCTAACAGAAAATTCATTTCGGAAAATTCAGTTGATAGCCGACATACAAAGTGTGTAGACGATAAAGCGAAGAGCTCGGCAAATAGCAGAATTCTATTTAGTGAAAGGCAAATGTCGCCGCGTTCATGCCCAAGTGTATATACTCACACGTTCGTATTCGGATTCTAGATATTCTAATTTTAATTTGTGAATATTGAGTAGAAAAAAATTTTAAAGTGAAACAACAACAAAAAATTTAGAGCACTGCTGTCTATTTTCGAAAGTCATAATTTTTCCAAATTTATCTAAGGTTTTCGCATAAAAAAGCACACGCGGTGGAAAAGTAGTAGCTACAGCAAATACAACAACAGCACGTCGCAGCACTAACCGAAATATTTAAACGGAAAACGGAAATTGTGCGGCATTGAACGGACGTTTGTTGTGGCCGTTAACGGTTTATATTTTGCGTACGTGAGTTGGTCGGTAAGCGCATTCGCCGGTAAGACATTGGCAGAATGAATGCAGTGAAATAAAAATACAATAAAAAAAAATCGATGTATGTAGATACCTGCATAAAAAAATTGCGCGATTGCAGTGGAATGCTTAAAAACTAGCTTAGTACGCGAAACATACATTGTTGTGAAAAATGACAAACTTTTTTGCACTTGCACGGAAATTTCGTAGTTTGAGGTATACGTGAGCTGAAGAAGTAAGTGTTTCTGGGAGCATTAAAAATTTTGGGTGTAAGTTAAGCGAAACAAAATTTTTTTTCAAGTGCATATGGGATGTGCGTTTAGTTATTTAAGAAGCGGTTGAGAAAGTTTTAGTTTAGACGTAGTTTAAATAAACATACATACATACATCAAAATTTAGAATTTTACAAACCTTAAATTTCATTTCAGGTTTGGGGGCATAAGGAATAATTTTTTATCTATCTAAATTTTTTTTTTTCAGATTTCGTGCATGCAACATTTACTGCCGGTTTCACCAGTAATTTAAGTGTAAATTGCTTCCCCCTTCCAACAGTTTTCCCACTAAGTTCAAATAAAAACAAAATCATTTTCCATGCTAATAGCTGTCGTGCATATAGCTAGTAATGACTGTTTCAAAAGGAATTATAATCAACGTACACACTAGAAAATTCTTCATTAGAAAATTTTAGAGACTTATAAAAATTTAGTGAGAATTTTCCAATTTCTCCTACCAAAATTTGGTGCAAATCGTATCCCAGTCGTGGAAATGCACAAATATTATCTCAATAGAAATTCGAGTATCTTGAAAAACTTTTGTTATCAAAAAAAAATTAAAAAATCATAAATTTTAGAGATAAAGCTGTAATATCAGAATCGTAAATAATATTTGACTTTCATCGAAAATTGCATAGCAACCGATGTACTCATAAAATTTTTGGATATTTTTTTAATGTGCCGAAGAGAGCCACCCTCGTTTGCTATTTAAGAAAGCGTTTTAAATCTACGTAGTATTCATGCACTTATCGAAAATCTAAAAAAAAAAATTAAAATAAGTTATACTAAATATCTGAATAACTCAGTGAGAGCGGAGACCACGTTGTTTGCATGTATTTATAAAAAAATATATATATATACTATATATATGTATAGGATCAAAAAGTATTTGGGTAGACACTTAGGGATGCGCCATACCGATACGATGTTCAATATATCAATATCGTTGTTCAACATATTGGTCTATTTATATCGATATCAGGTATTTTGTTTCGATACTTGAAATATCGGAAACTTTTCTCTACGTTCTCTAGGCTTCTAAACTGACAATAAAATTGAGTACGTTTGGAAAATGTGCTTTTGGCATAGTAACCATGCCGAACAAAAATTCATAAAAATATCAAAATTGCTCGTAAATTTCTTTAATTCAAGAAAATCAACAGCAAAGGCAAAATACTTCTTGCATAAAAATAATATTAACTAACCAAGACAAACCAGAGCTGCTGCATTGCATTTTAGGCTTTAGAAGATTCAGCTGATCATGAAATTTTGTACTAGACTTGCTTGTGAGGAGCAGTAAATCAAAGTTGCTGAACTCTGGTTACTATTTTTTCAAACTCATTAAAGTGCATCTTATCTTATCCAAAATGTATGCTTATTTTACTTTCCGGTAAGGAAACTATCCTTGATATGCCCGTCTACGATTCATCAAATGGTTTTTAGGAGAAAGAACGTAAGACTAAGGGTCGAAACATAGTGGAGCGGCGAGCAAAGCGAAGAGCTTGAATCGAGCAAAGCTTCAATAACAAACGTGTGTGTACGTTTTGCTCTTCACTATGCGGTCTCCCATTGAAACATATGCGTTTGAAATCGACGCTTTGCTCGATGCTCTTTGCTCGCCGCTCCACTATGTTCTTACCCTAATGCGTCGATATGACTTTGGTTGATCTGCATTAACTAAAGCTAAAATTATCAAATACAAAGAATTAAACCTTTAATCGAAATGCATGCAACAGTTGGTTCACCGACATATATTTGTACACATATGTATGTACGATAGATGTATACACATACTCACAAAGAGCGTTGAGCTGCCCTCAGAAGTAGACTACATAAAAATATAGCACTTCAAAACATTACGCATACGCCAAGCTGAGCCGGATTCGTTTCTATTTTATTTTGTAGTGTTGAACAAATGTGGCTTCAGAAAAGTACATTGCACGGAAACAAGAAAGAAAATGGTTGAAATGCTTGTTATAAGTGATGCGCAATGTATTTGCGCATGAAACACAATCAATCGCCTTTTCTTCCTGTCTATCTCGTCCACACGCTCTGCTCACATGTACAAATTCAAATAACTCAGAGTTGTGCAGGCGAAAGGATAATTACATATGTCGTACGTCAACATCTTTTAGTGGCTTCATCAAACCATTAAGGCCACAATAGTTACAAGAAAGAACAACAATAACTGAAACAGGGAGCAATGTAGAAGCTATAACAGGCAGCAGTTGCAGTGATGAGGGCATTCGTTTTGCAGTTAAACAGTTTGTAGCCACACAATTTTATTAGAAGCAAGTCAACTTATAATACTTATATAGTGCTTATCATAAATATAGGACACCTACATATTGGCAAATTTTTGACTATTTATTTATTTTATTTTTTTTAAGCAATATAGTCCATTCTATAACAAGAATCATATTTATACATCCAGGATTAAAATTTTGTACAAAAGTAAAAGATAACAACAAAATTGTAACATTTATTATTCAAAATGTTTAGAAAATTTTGAATATTCAGTTTTAGAGCCGCGGACGTGGAACCTATTTTCTTCCATACGCCAATTCAATATTTAACAATTTTTTTAAATGCAGGAAAATTCTGAATAAAAAGTGTAAATTTTTTTTTGAATTTTTGTAAAAAGTTTAAAACATGGATTTATATGGTTTTTGTTACAGAGTCGACTATAAATACATATGTGCGTAAAAAAATTACAATTTAATAATAAAACAGTAAATGGTCAAAACTTGTCAATATGTGGGTGTCGTATAGTTACGATAAGCACCTTACAAGCTAATACGAATGTCCATATGTGTATGTGTGTACACACATATGCGCATATTTCACTTCATTAAGCGCTTTAATTGCAATATTCTCTTCTATATTCAGGGCGAGTAGCTAATTTGCTGCCGCTTTGTGTTTTCTTTGTTTGCGGTCAGTGACTTCTGGAGCTTCTTTCATTTCATCTTTAGTGAATAATGGAAAGCTTTGCTATGCTGTGGTTAAACTGCATGCATTTGCTTAGAGCACATCTTCAGCAATTTTCATTGTCATATCTCTTTTCATGTATTAACTTAATTTTCTCTTTACCAGACATTTTTGCGTACACGTCATTGAGTTTCTTAATTTGTAAAAATATTATTTTTACTCAATTTTCAGTTGACAGAATGTTCACTGTCTACACGACTTTCGACAGATAATTAAACAATTTAATTAACTGCATTTCGATGCCAAAGAAATTGAGCAGAAATTGGGAAAGTTAAAGGAAATATTCAAAGAATTAAGATAAAGATTGAAATCTCGCTGGTCGTTTTCAAATGTTTTCCACGAATTTGCACATTCAATTAGAGTTGTGAATAGTGGGTATAAATATTTTCAAAAGCGAAAGTTGAATTCTAAGAAAAAACAAAAACAACAAAGTTGATGTAAGTCGAAAAGATAAGATAGTTCAATCTGCGAAGCGGGACCGATTTTTGGTTCCGTTGGAACCGTTTTCGGTTCGTTTGAAATGGTTTTTCAGTTTAAGGACCTATTAGTTTGGTTTTCATGGACCATTTTGTGGCTTTTCCAATCTTTCGAAATCGATTTTCGGTTCTTGATGAAAGGTTTTTCGGCCCGCTCGGAATCGAGTTTTGGTTTGTAAGAAGCGTACCGGTCGGTTGCACGATTCTGTACATGATTAATTGGTAATACTTTAATCTACCGGAAGATGGTGACACCACGCTGCTCTAAAGCCTTGGATACTACATGCCTTCTTTTCTCACTTCTCTCTTTCTTCTTCTTATTTGGCACTACAACCATTTGTTGGTTTGGGCCGATGCCAAAAAGCTTCTCCAGTTGCCCATCTCTCCTTTGCGAATTTTTCCAGGTGATTATACCGAATGCATACAGGTCCTTCCATTGCGTTCGTGGGCGCCCTTGCTTTCGTTGCCCACCAATTGGTTGGAAATCAAAGGATATTTTCATCAAAACGTCGTTATCCATGCGTGAAGCATGTCCAAGCCATCGCAATCGCTGTATTTTTAGCCGCTTAACTATGTCCATGTCGTTAAAGAGCTCATATAGTTTTTCATTCCATCTTCCACGAAAACAGGGCCATAGAGCTTGCGTAGAATAATTCTCCTGAAAGCGCTCAAAGTCTTCTCATCTTTGTTCGACATTGTCCAAGGTTCTGCGCCATATAATTGTGGAGCGTGATTTTTGTTCGTCGAGAGAGGGCTCTGCTTTTCAATTGCCTATCGAACCAAAAGTAGCACCTGTTGGCGTAAGTTATTCTTCACTTGATCTCCAGGCTGACGTTATTGAAGGTGTTGATGCTGTATCCTATGTAGACAAAGCCCTTGACTACTTCAAAGTTATAGCTGCTAACAGTGAAGTCTCCCCGAAATTCATGGGCCAGGAGGTAATTTGTCTTTCCCCCATTCACCGCTAGACCAAACTCTTTAGTGTCACTGCGAGTCAGCATCAGATCGAAAAAGTCGCACGAGAGTGAATGGCCTTGACTCAAACCTCGTTTGGCCTCAAACGGCGCGGAGAGGTCGTTCCCAATTCGGACGGCGCTGAAGGTTGTGCTCAACGTCACTCTACATAACTTTATTAGTTTTGCGGGGTTACCCAAGGCTTGTTTAGTATTTTCAAGCCCAGCGCACAACCATTGCTGGGGTGGATGGTTTTTCAACCGGATTCACATTTATATAGCGCGCCGCTTGCTCCAAGACAGACGCCTGCGTGTAGCCGCACCTCCTGGTGAACAGGCGCTGCAGACTTCAGTGAGCCCTTTCGCCAAAAAAGGCGGAGCTCCCTCCCTTTCTTCCGTCACCCAAGGCTCCACTCGTATTGGTTTCCGCATCTTGTAGTTGGGTTGTTCGCGTTGCCCAGAGTGCATGAACGAGGACGCAAGAGTCGGGATTGAGTAAAGCCGTGCCACTGTAACCATTTGACCCCCCGTCCCCCTATTCTAACT